CCTTCTAAGATCTAAATTCTCACCCATTCCACCCATTACTTGCCTCTAGGAAACCGACAGGAGATTGAAACCATATGACCTGCAAATACCTAAAAGGAATCTGTATCCTCAAGCTCAGGATATCTGTGTATCCTTATTCACCACAAACGTCACTGATTGCACGGAGATCGTAATCCCGCTATGTTGCCATTGGCGCCGGTAACAGTTCAGGCAAACGAGTAGGTGCTTTGCTACCATGCCCCCTCCCTCCCCCCCCCAATCTACGAGGCGAGGGTGCCCAAGTCCGAAACCTGGGATACCACCACCACCGAGACGAGCGAGACTGGTGCCAACTACTTCGTACATCAGTACAAATCTTAAGATGTGTGTCTTCTTTCCACACGCTCCCAGGATGTTTCTGAACGAAGGATGGTCAATTTTACAGGTTAGACGAATGAGTCGAACCGCACCGACTGATTAAATATAACGAGGAGAACCTCACGAAGAAGAAATCTCTGCAAGAGCACCAGGCCGCGCACAACGCGTCCGCGGCGCCCTCGGCCAAGGCAATGGCGAGCGCGAAAGCGGGCGCGAGCGGCGTAAGGCGTAAGGAGGGTGGACGGGGTGCGATGTGCATGCGGGACGAGGATGACATCTGGAGGCCCGAGTTGCGATTCGTGGTACCGGAAGTGCTGAAAATGATGCTGGTGGACGATTGGGAGGCGGTGATGAAGAGCGACCATGAGGTGCGTCTCACTTTGTTGGTCTCGTTGTTTTTCTTTGTGGTGGCTTACGGGAATGATAGCTGGTGACGCTACCGCAGGTCCGCGATCGTCGACGGTCGCTGAGCTTTTGCAAGAGTTAAGGCCGTTAAGGGAGGAGTCAGGACGTTTTTCCAACCGTAATGAGATCGCCATATATACGCACCAATTTGCCATACAGGTTTTGGAACTTTCGGTTGTACTTACGGCTGATAACATCGACGTCAGCTTCCGCCAGCGTCTCGCTCGTGTGCAGATGACCCTCCGTTCGCGGCGATATGTGGAAAAAAGCAGCAACTATATCCCTCTTTCTGTTCTCTTCCAGTGCTTCCCGTCACCTGCGTGGTAAGACGGTCTGCTCATACAAAACGGCATGTGCGATGACACGGAGGCTGTCTAATCAAAATCACGCCCCGGAGTTTCCAAGACCAAATTGGATCTCGTTATGGAACCTCGCGCTCGCCTTCCAAATCTTATAAAGGATACCAGGGCGTCGGGTTTTTAGGAGCATTCATTGGGCCTGGATATCATGTTATCGACTGGTATACCGCTTGTCGACGTAGGGGTCCTTATCTTCTCCTTGGCTTTTTCGTGTATCCTCTACATCCGACTCCGAGGTCGAAGGGTCATCGAAAACTTACCTCCCAGACCCAAGGGCTGGCCTCTCATAGGCAACCTATTCGACATCCCAAAGCACTCGCAGTGGCTTGCCTATGCCGACTGGGCGCGGGAGTACGGTGAGTTTGGCTGCCTTGATTGACGCGAACAAAGACTGAATCGTTATCATCAGGCTCGCCTCTCATACATGTCAACTTACTTGGCACGCATTTCATGGTCGCGAATGATATGGCGACAGCAAAAGACCTTCTGGACAAAAAAGGTTCCAACTTTAACTTGCGGTGAGTCTTGCCTTGTTTCTGAGTCCCAGGTCGTCGTACTAAACCGATGCACTTTAGACCCCGTCTTCCAATGCTCAACGAAGCGTGCGTTG